TCTCTCTCTCTCTCTCTCTCTCTCTCTCTCTCTCTCTCTCTCTCTCTTTCTCTGCCTTTCTCTGTCTCTACTCTCTTAACTCTCCTCCCCATGCCCTAAATAAATTTTATTCCATACTATATCTGTCCTATGGTTGGTACCTCAGGGGAAAGGGATGTCTCAGCATGGGCCTGCAGAGGCACCCCTTCCCCCGTGATACCTCACTCTACCAAACATATCCCTGGCTTCCCTTTCCTTTTTATAAAACACAACAATCCTGACTCCTCAAGCTCAGGATGAGGTTTAAAGGATTCACATGTTTAAAGGACTGTATGTAGCACTGTAGACACCTAACTGCCTGTCGGATACACAGTACTCAGGAAGAATGAATTGTCCTTCCCTTCCCCTCGGTCGTTCTATAGCAGAGGGTGAGAGCTCAAAGCCAAGAAGTCAGGAGGAATTTGCTATCTTAGCAACTTGATGTTTAACAAGTTAGCAATGAGAGATTTGGTGCTTGTAAGCTGTGAGCAGCTACTGTCTACTGGGTGTTTACATGGCTGAGACAAAGGAGAGAGAGAGAGAGACAGAGAGAGAGACAGAGAGAGAGACAGAGAGAGAGACAGAGAGAGAGAGAGAGATTGTTGCAGAGACTTTGTAGGAAAGGACAAGCAACACAAAAGTTTAAAACCCTCTTAGGAGATGAAGGAGTATTGAGCAAAAGTCATCGGCAGTGTCATGATTTTAGTAAAATTTGTGTCGCTAGAAATTCAGTCTCCATGATGAGTTCAGGATTTTTAATAGCCAACATTCACATACAATTTTCTCAAATATTGGTCTGAATAAAATGTGAACTTCTATTATTTTGAAACACCCCATCAAGAGGAACACTTGGGGAGTCTGGGGAGTTGGCTCAGTGGTTATTAAGAGCACTGGCTACTCTTCCCAGTACCCGTATGGCAGTTCACAACTGTTTTAACTCTAGTTCCAGGGCATCTGACTCCTTTTTCTGGCCTCTGTGGACTTCACATACACATGGTGAATGGACATACCTGCAGGCATGATACACAGACATAGACACAGACAGACAGACACACACATACACACACACACACAAACACACACACACACACACACACAGAGAGAGAGAGAGAGAGAGAGAGAGAGAGAGAGAGAGAGAGAGAGAGAGAGAGAATTCTTAAAAACAACAATAAGAATCCCCCTACAGCCCCACCCTTCGATCCCTGTAACCCTGTAACCCTGTAACCCTGTAACCCTGTAACCCAACCATCGGATAAGCCTTGCCTTTCTGCAGTAGTAGTTGCATGATCTCAGTGTGTCCGCCTTGAGCAGCGAGGGCAAGAGGCGTGAACCCGTAGGAGCTCCGTGCATCCGGGTATGCTCCCGAGCTCAGCATCAGCTTTACCGTGTCCTGTCTGCCGAGCTTGGCAGCTTCATGGAGAGCTGTTCTCTCATTGGCACATCGAAGATTGACATCCGCTCCGTGGCTGATCAGCAGGGTGGCCATGTCGTAGGAATCCTTCAGAACCGCTGGGGGATTGTGAGGACATTATGACAACATGAGGTAAGTGTCATATCAGCTTGTGCCTTCAGCTTCTTTTTGGTTTTTGGGTTTTTGAGACTTGATTTCTAGACCAGGCTGGCCTCGAACTCACAGAGATCCACCTGCCTCTGCCTTCCAAGTTCTGGTATAAGGCATACATCATTACCGCCTGCCCCTCAGCATCTTAAGGAACTCTCTCCCTCTCCCCCATGCTCCAGCATTCTGTGTTTAGGAAGCACATTTTAAAACAATACAGATACAAAGTGATGCAGTTTTATATCAGTGGCATGTTTGGTGTTTGTAAGCTGTGAGCAGCTACCATCTACTGGGTTTTTACATGATGGAGACAAATTTCAAGTTATCAACTTGATTTTCTCAGGAAAATGGGAGCTTAGTGGAGAAGCTCACAAGCTCCACCCATCCCTAGGACCCTTAGACAGTTCATGGTTACTGGAGGATAGAGAGGCGGGGGTATCTGAAAAGAGGGAGGGGATTGGAGGACTGGGGCAGGAGAGGGTATGGGAATGAACAAGACGGAAATACATTAGACACACGTGAAAAAGTCATAATGAGGGTGTATGTACAGAATAACCCCACGTCCACCACCTAAAGATCCGTCACATGACGTCACACTGTAAAGCCTTTCACTGCAGGGATGTTACAGAGATGCTCACGGTTCTGTGTCAATAATCTACGCTAACCTTTTGAAAATTGTCTTAAGAATGAAAGAAAAGAGAGCCAGTGCCTGCCGAGCTGCATTCTGTCTTAAGAATGAAAGAAAAGAGAGGCGGTGCCTGCCGAGCTGCATTCTGCCCCTGGGCCATGCATGGAGGGAGGGCAGAACCAATTTCTGCAAGTTTTCATATGACCTCCACACGTGTGCCACGGCACGTGTACCGCCAGCCTCCCTCCTCCACACCCAAATGAATAAATAAGTGTAAACATATTATAACAAGGAAAAGAAATGAATGTGAATCATCTCAAAATGCGTCAGAAGGACAGAGCAGCTAAGGCAAGCCTAAACTTGACACTGCTGTGTATTAAAGCTGCTCCTTCACCTGTGACATGGAGTCGTGGTGACAAGGTTTATTTACATGTTAATTCTATTTTTGGAATTGCTTCTCTAAACCATCCTTTATAAAAGAGAATTATATATATTTTAATGAGAGTCTAAATGCTAGCCCTGAGTCTTAAGATAGTAGTAACCACTGAGAAGGAAAACCCTAACAGCAACAGAGCCTGTCTCAGCAAACTAATGGCCGTCGTCTATGGTGTAATTTACATATGCATAGGAGAATGGAGGCACTCACAGGAAGTGAGGGTTTGGAACTGATTTCCAAGGTGTGGAGCACAGAATACTTCCTGAGGCTCTTTAGGATTAAAAAGGCTGTGCAGTTAGCAACAACCAAAACAAACAAGACGGGCGCAGGCTTGGAGGTGCTCAGCACCGCAAGCAGAGCCAATGAGGAGAAGGCAGAGTTCGTGAAAGGAATCCGGCTTCCCACGGTCGCTGTGAGAGTCTTCAGAGTTAATATGTGCTTGTTTTTAACATGTGAACGTTACACACACTTATCACATAGACATCCGAGGTTTCGAGAGGGTAGAACTGACCCCTAGTTCTTGTACATCCTGTGGGGTACAGCTCTGTAGTTGTGCCCAGCCTTCTCCGAAGAGGCTCTTGGGCTCCGTGTTGGTTTTCTATGAATGGAAAGACTTAGAGTCCAGTGAGACAGTGGGCAGCAAGCGCTATGCTGGTAAGAATGGCGTTTGTGCTGGGTTAAAGGGTCAGATGAGAATTCTCTACCTTTCCCAACTATCTTTGTTCTTACTCAGAGGATTTTTCTGTCTTAAATTTTTCTTCCTTGGGACACATCTCCAAATGCTAGCTTTTAACTCACTATGTGACCCAGACTGGCCTCAAGGTCAAGAATGCTTGCTTATAAGTGAAAGTCACCACACCCAGCTACAGCCAAGCTAGAGAGGAGGTTTCTGTGTCTGATCAGTGGGGGCCAAATTGTCAGTGTTGTAAGGAAAAACTTGTGGGCGTAGAGGGGACCGGGACTCGTCAAAGACCATGTGTGCATTTACCTGTAAAAAGAGGAGAATTGCCTTCAAAATCCTTAGCATTTGGATTGCAGCCATTGAGAAGGAGAAAATGGGCATTTTCCAGAAGGCTACTGCTGACAGCCAAAAAAAGTGGTGTTTCACCGTTACGGGTGGTTCGTTCCCACGTACTGGGTTTGGAAGCTGAAATAAATTCATCACACCACACAGGTTAAGATGCAGGAATAAACTTATTCCTCAGAAGCATCCAGAGGGGTGAAAGGGCATTTACCGTCCAGGGTAATTTCTAAGATGTTCTTGTTTAACTGCACGGCTGCCTTATGGAGAGGAAGCCAGCCATTCCCGTTGCCTTCATCAAAGGCAGGATGGTACTTGGCAAAGTGTGCCAATGTGTCTTCCTTACCTAGTAACAAGGAAAACAAAACAGATTCACATTTGGCCTGCACAGGAGCCTGCACTGCTTCTGAAGTCTACCACCAAAGCCAGTGTGAAAGCAGAATCCAAGCACTGTCTTCAATGAAAGACGAGTTTCAATGTCATAGGATGGCACTGCAGCTTCTCACACAGCGTTCCCCCCCACCCCAGGCCCTGGGACACCCCTAGCTCCATCTATGCAGGAACTCTGGCATTCTTGGATAAGTTACGCTGAAATATTTTCTCCCAGAAAAGACCACTTCAGCCTCTGGATTCCCCAAATGCCCAGTCTGCAGTAGAACCTGTTTCCACGCTTTTGGAAGGAAATGCCACCACTACTGTACCTCACCGCAAACTGGACGGGGAATAGGAAGAGTACTTAACTGTCTCGATTGCTTCAACTATCTTCTTATAATCATCACTTGAGAAGGAATGGGATCTGCACAGAAAAAAAAGGCAATTATAAATCTAATATTTTTGACTGGAACCCAAGGCAGCAGCAGGTGCTCAGGGGTGAGCTCCAGTGCAAAGCAACCAAGGAGGTCTAAGCAAGTCACTTGCTACAGAGGTGGGCGAGCAGCTTAGTGTTAGCGCGCTTGCGTTGCATACACAACACCTTGGGTTTGATCCCCAGTGTACACACTCATGCACAAGCTCACATGCCCACGTACACACACTCGATTGTGCATGAGCACATGGAGGGGAGAGAGAGAGAGAGAGAGAGAGAGAGAGAGAGAGAGAGAGAGAGAGAGAGAGATTCCATTTGAACCCTGTAGTATGTTGTAGTATGTTGTTCCTCAGCACGTTATAGGGAAACTGCCTCTTCACGCCTCCCATCCCTTAGCTACCGCTTTTGGGAGAGGAAGGAAACGAGTCTCCATGAGAGCTTGGAACACAGTATATGCTGTCAATAAATGTTGCCGAGCTTACTCAAACCTGTCTGACACTGAAATATCATTGTACAACATGGAGAAACTGATAGCTACTCTATGATTTAAAAAAAAATATTGCTAAAAAACTACATAACCAGAGTGTGAACTTTAAAATGTCCCCAGAGTCGGAATTCTCTCTCAGAAAACAGTGACAATTTAAATTATACTTTTATAAAAATATCTAACCATGAAAGCTTTGTGTATGGAATTTTAAATGTTGAGATGGGGTCTCACTGTGTAGCCCATGGCTGCTTCACTCCCTGGCCTCATCTCTGCCTCTGCAGGGACCGTGGGCATGCACCACTGTGCCTGAATTCAATACATGAATCCTAGATTATTTTCTCCAATTTCTCAATGAGTCTAGGTTGGAGAGAATGATTTTTCTTAGACGGTGTGTCTTGTTCACATTGTGGCCAATCGATTCTCTTGAATGTTTAAGACCGTGTTAATAGGCTTAGGCTTGGTGCTGGGTTAGTGTCTGTAGGTTCTGGAAGAAACAACTGCAGTCTTACTGACTTACAAAAGTACAAATCTGTCACCTTACAGTTCTTTGGTTCTAGATTCTCCTCTCTCTCTCTCTCTCTCTCTCTCTCTCTCTCTCTCTCTCTCTCTCTGTGTGTGTGTGTGTGTGTTCACATGCGTACATGAATGCTCATCACAAGAAGACCAGAGGTCAGCATCTGGTGACTTCTTTCACTGGTTCTCCATGTTTTTTATGAGATGTAGTCCCACCTGGATCTCATCAGTTCCCCCAGATTGGCTGTTGACTGGCCAGTACGCTTAGTACCGACCTGTCTCTGCTTTCCCTAAACGCTGAGGTTACAGACATATACCGCCGTGTCTTACATTTATGTGGGTGCTGGGGATACGAACTCAGGATCTCATGTTTGTACAGCAAACACTTTGTCCAGCCTCCACTCTAGATTTCTAACACCAACAAGAGCCTGACCCAACAAGCAGTCTTTCCTAGGTATCGTACAGATTTTGAAGTTTAATAAATGAGATTTATGTACTGACTACAATCTCGATTTCCATGATACATTTCCATACTGTACTTAGTCAAAATCTCGTTCACTTTCCAGACTAAAATTATGAATTCAAAGTCAATTACTTGGTGGTGCATTTTAAAATCAAAATGATAGGACAAGACAACCTAATAAGTCTGATTTCTTCACAAAACACTAAACATTTAAGTATTCTTCTAATCATCAGCCTAAAGCAAGCACCAAGGTATAGGAACAGTGTGGTGAAAAGAAAGCACAGTTTGTGTCAGATGGCAAGAACTTTCATTATCTGAGTGAGCTTGAGTAAGTTACTCTCGAGTGCCTCAGTTTCCTTATTTCTAAATGGAAAAAGTAGCAGCACCTCCCCATAGGGAAGCAATGAGATTTATGTTTAAGTGAGTTAATATTATGAAGTACATGGCATATTGTTATCGCATCACGAGTTTGCTACGTCTAGAAAATGCTGGAGGTATGGCTCAATGACTGCTCTTGCAGAGGCCCTGAGTTTGGTTCCCAGCACCCACACTGGGCAGTTCACCCTCACCCATGAGTCCAGCTCCAGGGCTTCCACAGACACCTGCACTCACAAGTGTACGTCACACCAGACACAGACGTCCAAAATACAAAACAAATCTGTAAAAATCCTATAGGTTTGATGTCATCTGTCATTTCGATACTTAATTGTAAGGTCATGTAAGAGTAAAAAAATCCTGTGTCACCTGAACAGGTAAATAGAGGTCGCCATGCCAACCAAACTGGGCTCGTCACCCCAGGTGGAAAAAACAATAGTTTCAACCTCATGTGCCAGTGTTGGTGATTAGAGAGCATGCAACTGGTTGTGCTTGACTGTACACTGCCCATATCCAAGTGACAGAGGTTCTTACATCATTTAGAGACCTGGTGGCTGTTTGTACTGTAATCCACCCAGGCATTAGTCTTCTGAGGTTACCGTCCCTCCTCTGGATCTGAGTAGATGAACACTGGGCTCCTCCTCACCTGCCTCACTAAGATGGCTGTCTATGTGTCGCACTGAGATTCCCGTGAAACTTAGACTCCACAGGACGGTTGTGAATGGTCCTCCCTGGCCCTGCAGAGACTGGGCTCACTCCTACCTTCAGTTTCAGTGAGTGTCTTCTCACTTAAATGCTGTCCTCCAGCAAACTCTTTTCTTCTTTAAAAATTTGTTTTTATTTATTATCTATACAGTTTCTGCCTGCATGTACACCTGCAGGCCAGAGAGGCCATCACATTCCAGTATAGATGGTTGGGAGCCACTGTGTGGTTGTTGGGAACTGAACTCAGGGCCTCTAGAGGAGCAGCCAGTGCTCTTAACCACCAAGCCATCTCTCTAACTCCCTTACTAAATTCTTGATTCTCTCCGAGTTGTGTGTGTTTTTTTTTTTTTTCCTGTGCATTTGGGCATCATATCTTATACACGATTAAGTTACAGTTACTCTCCGGGAAATGTCACTCAGTGCACGCCTTACATTCGTGTGGCCTTGGGTTCAGTTCCAACCACTACTGAAAAAATGAAAGAAGACGACTCCATGTCTTCTGTCTGACTTTCCCTTCTGTTCTTGTGACATTAAGATCATGACTCCTCTCAGCTCCTGAATACTCCTTAATACTCACTGCCAATGAGACAGACATTCCCTCTCCTCTTCTGGAGTGTGCCGAGTTATTCCTGGCTTGTAACTATCCAGCAGACTCTGTTGGATGATGAGCTGGGTGTCAAAGTCAGTGTCTGCGTCCTCGTCACTGCTGTGGTGATCCATGTGAAGCTTGAAGTTGATTTTCAAGTCAGAAGGAATTAAAATATTTTTCCAGTTGTGAAAAGGCTTTTTCCAACTGCTTAAAAATAAAGATGACATTTAGAAGACTGGAAACTTGATAGGATTGATGAATGAAGAAAATACAAATTTTTAAAACAAAATATACATTTAAAAATTCCCTGTGATTTTCTGGGTTGCCATAGAGTCAGCATAAATTAGAAGTTTCTGTAAATAGACATTTATTTAAAGCTTATTAAAGGAAATCTTCCTTTCATATGAGACTTAGATCATAAATCATTGCCAATGATATTCCAGAGATTAATGTGTAAAATATATAAAGAACTATAGAAATTAAATACCCAACCCCTCAAATGACCTAGCTAATAAGTGGCTAATGAAGTGTAAACACAGTCCTCCAAAGGAGAATTTAAAATGGCCAGTACACTGGTTACGTAGTGCAGACAGTGCTATTCAGGCTTCTGGAGAAGGAAGGACATCACAGTCTCATCCAACACTGGATGCTGCACGGCACAATGGCAACATGTTTAGGAAGATGTTCCCAGGAGTGCGAGAACTGTCTACTGACTGACTATGATGCCCTTGCCACAAGAAGGAATTCATGCTTTGTGCTGTCATATTGGTCATCCCGCTTGATGGCACAGATCATGGATCCTTGGAGGGAACCTATCATTGCTGTTTTACTAAGTGGACAAGCTGTCAAACTGCTTTCTAAACATGTCTGTTACCACAGATCTCTGCTGCTCTAATCTTGGCTACAGAAGCTCCTGTTTACATGAGTGGTGGTTGCTATGAAGACTCAGAAATGGTTTAAGTGTGGGGTAAGTAATCGTGAGTGCTCGGCTATGGTGGGTCACATGTCAACATTCCCTTTTCAAGAAACAGTGAGGAAGAAGGGGCAACGAGGATGTAAGAGCAGGCAGATGGGGAGGGGGTTTAAGTGACAACTTTTGGACATGGCAGGGTTGTTGTACACATCAAGGCACAGCATCTATGGTTCTAGCACAAGGTCTGCATAAAATGAAACTAGTCTAAATGCCAGCATAGATGCAGGAGAGGCCCTGGGACCTCCTGCATCTAGTGGAGGGAGGGAAAGTTACTCTCTTTTAGAGATGTCAATTCTGGTAGATCGCTCATGCTGCAGGGATGGGCCCACATCCATGGACACAGATGGACAGGACTGATTGGGTTCTGGTGGGTTCTGATAGCAATAAACCAGAGATGAAGCTTCTGGGAAAGGAGGCAGAGGAGAAGGTGCTAGGAGGGACTGAAGTCATGGTAGACGGATAGCAAGGTAGCTTATATAGATTTTAAAGAATATTTGACTATGTTTAATTAGAAACATGAAGAATTTAAAGAATAAGCAAAAATATTATTTACAAAACAAAAACCAACCAAATGAAAATGGTCAGTTAATAACTGCTGGGAGCCAAACCCAGGAAATCACCTGCTGTTCTGGAAAACCTAGTCAATTAAAGTGCAAGGTTAAGAAAGGACATTTTCGGTCTCAGGTCCCAGGAATTGAAAGAACGTCTGGTATTTCCCAGAAGCCAGTTAAGACAGTGGGATTGGGCCTTGGGCAATGAGGACAGTGGGATGGCCTTAAGCTCTGATCCTTGCCTAACCTTCCCGTTTTGCCTTTATAACATGCTGCCCGATAATAAAATTTGAGAGCTTGATCAGAACTCTGACTTGTTCTCCTTCTTCGTGTCTCTTCTTTCGCCCCCTCCCTAGGTCCTTGTTGAATCCCCCAAGGGCCAGGGCAAATATCAATTTCCTTAGCCATTAGGGAAATAAAAACGAAAACTGCTTTGTGGAGCTGAGGAGATGGGGCTCAGTGAGAGAACAAACATGGCCCTAAGTTTGCATCCCAGCACCCATCTGTGAAGCCATCACACATCTCTAAGCATAGCATCCAGGGGACAGGCCTAGAGATAGCTAGATTCCTGGAACTTCCTCGTCAGCCAGTCTAAATTGGTGAGCACAGGCTTTAATGAGGGACCTGGTATCAAAAAATAAGGTGGGGTGGCCCTCTGTGGTCTCCAAAAGAACACAAGCTCTTGCCATTGGCCTTGTTCACTCACCATAACTACAGGACAAGACTCTAAGATAGGACTTTCACTGCAGAAAAAAAAACCCACAAAACAAACAAACAATAACAAAAAATCCCACAAAAAATCAATCTCAAACCAACTAGCAACATTCATCCTTGCTGGCTAGCTTTCACAGTGCCACACACAAGAATTCACAGCAGCTAGAGTAACCTGCAAGAGACTGCACAAGATCAAAGCCACCAAATCCCATCACAGGTGGGACAGATGATTTCTAGGTCCCTTCCCTCAATCAAAGCCACCAAATTCTGTCACAGGTGGGACAGATGGTTTCTAGGTCCCTTCCCTCACCGCAGCAACGATGGCCACTGATGTTTTGTAGGGAGTAGAAATCCTGGTTTTTGTTTTTTAAAAAGATGCCACTTCTAATAGGATTCCTGAGCTTCAGTGGATGGCCTCACCGCTGCTCCAGACACACACACGCGCACATGCACTCGCACACACAGACACACACACACACACATACACACACACACACACACACAGACACACACAGACACACAGACACACACAGAAAGTGCCAGCTGAGCTGAACTTGCATGAAGCTGGGAGGAAGGCATGTTGGGCTAAACAGACAACCATTTCTCATTATATGCATCTATAAAAATGCCAAGAATAAAGATTAAAAATAAAGAATAAAATTTAAAAATAAGGTGGAGTACAATAGAGTACACACCCTACATCAGCCTCTTCCCTACACACACACACACATGCACACACACACACAGACACACACACACATGCACACACAGACACACACACACACAGACACATACACATACACACACACAGACACATACACAAACACACACACACACATGCACACACAGACACACACACAGACACATACACATACACACACACACACACACACACACACACACAGGCTACATAAAAGTAGAAAGGGGACCACAGAGGAAATGGTCTTAGAGGAGAAAAGAGAGCAAAGGGATACATATGATATGAAAGCCAAAAGCAGAACTACACAGGGAAGGAAGGGGCTCGGCCAGAGGCAGGGGACAGACTATAAGGACACGCATATATGAAAATGCCATACCAAAATCCATTTGCCAGCTAACTTCAAAAGGTAAAACAAAGATGTATGTATGTAAACAATGTGAAATAACAAACAAAAACCCCTACTTGTAAATAAATAATTAAATGAAACTTTTAAAGGGGCTAAGAAAAAAGGCCCAGGTCATTTTTGCAATATTGAAAGTGTTTATTATTGATTTATTTTAGAAATAGCTGGTGAGTTTTTCTCAATTATTATAGCACTCAGAAGATTATCTTTTCTATACACAGTAATCGTTGTGCTAAAAATTCTGTTTTATCTAGTAAGCACTGACAGTGACTGTGCTATGGGAATAAATACACTACAACAGTGACAGCAGCAGTTCAAAACAGTCGGTGTATTAGGCAAAATCTAAATGATTTATAAAGTACATTACTGTTTTGATATAGAATAGGCTCCAAAGACTACTTTTTACCTTTTTTATATCCTCTAGGGCTGATCTGCAGTCCCCATGTTGCAGGTGTGGCTGGATCTCCACTTCCCTCTGCAGACCATTATAAATAGCTTTACTATAAATACTTGATCATAAGACGGTTTGGCATGTTCTCCCTGTTTTTCACATGTGGGCTTGTGCTGTTTGGAAATGTGACCTCTTTTCTTCATTGCTAGATTCATCAAGTTTAAAAGATTTCATCCTCTTTGGGAAATAGAAAGTATTTGGTGGATGTTGATCATGAAAAAGAATTCATGTTCTTAAGACTTAGGGATATAGCCACTGGAAAACAGATTTTCTTAAGAGGAACCAACAATTTTGCTCTGATGGCATTATCAAAAGTGGCTTATCTGCTAATCCTAGTAGCAATGGCCTGTAACCCCAGCTACTGGGAAGGCTGAGGCAGAAAGAACCCTGGTTCAAGACCTGTCTGGGCTACAGGGTTAGTTCTTAGCTAGCCTGGGTAACTTAGTGAGGCCCTTCCTCAAAATAAAAAAGTGAGCAGGTTCCTCAAAAAAAAAAAAAATGGGTGGGAGCTCTATTGCTCAGTGACAGAGTGCTTGCCCAGCATGCATGAGACTGAAGATTAAATCTCAATACCATTAAAACAATGGACTGTTGCACAGATTCACGGTGTATCCAAACCTACATATTCCCTGAGCTGAGGTGCCTTAAGCACCTTTGGAATCCTAGGAAGGAACCACAATGTAACAGAACCCTTTTTTCCACCCAATGGCACAGTAATGTTTATTTCATCCTTCAAACATCACAAAGAAGTGACAGCTTCTGATACCAAATCATACAAGGGTTATTGGAGGAACAGAACAATATTAACATAAAACCATTCAAACAACACAAAGTGCTTCACATCTCAGACAATGTTGTGCGCTGCCAGCTGGCGCTTCCACCAGGGGCTTCCAACGGCAGGACCAAAGCAAAGCCAGGATCCAGGAGAAGATGCTGTCTCATCTGGGAGTTTATACCCAAGTCGCTACAGACCCCACTGCTCCACTCAGAATTCCCTAAACCTGATCTTAAAATGTAACTAGGATTTGGGAGTGGTAACAATGGAAACAACCTCAAACAGAGGAGTGTGGCAAGAAAGCAAACAGTAAACAAGCTTTCCCATAAAGTATCAGGAGACCTGCTGGCTGGCTCCTTTCTGAACCAGCTTAGAAACATGTTATTTCTCAGCAAACGCAAAACTTCAGAAGGTTAACCAGCAGGTTCAGTCAAAGTTTTCAGAGATAGTCCTAATCTCTTATTTTTATTTATACAATTTTTTTTTGTTTTTGGTAAATGTTTCATATAAAACATAAAATCAAGTTCTATTTTATAAAAAAACTGAATTTTTTTTTCCGAGACAGGGTTTCTCTGTGTAGTCCTGGCTGTCCTGGAACTCACTCTGTAGACCAGGCTGGCCTCGAACTCAGAAATCCTC